TACATCAGTCAGTCAGCAGTCGGCCATTCTATCTGTCAGTTAGTATACATCAGTCAGTCAGCAGTCGGCCATTCTATCTGTCAGTTAGTACATCAGTCAGTCAGCAGTCGGCCATTCTATCTGTCAGTCAATACATCAGTCAGTGAGCAGTCGGCCATTCTATCTGTCAGTTAGTACATCAATCAGCCATTCTCTCAGTCAGTCAGTCAGTAAGGCAGTCACTTATTCTATCAGTTAGTCTGTCAGTCAAACATCAGATCAGCATTCTGTCATTCAGTCGATTAGTCAGTCATTCTACAAGTAAGACTGTTATTTTGTAAGTCATTCAGTCAGTCATTGATTCATTCAATCAGTCAGTCAGTCGATCAGCTAGTCAATCTTCCTAGCATGTCTAGCGTATAACGTCTTGACCGTGTCGCATGATTCCTTTGTAAATTAAAAGAGCATAGTCTTATTTGAAATGGTTTTATTTTAACAGTATTAGTTTGTTACGTTACGGCGTTAGCGGTTATTGTTAATAATTAGTAACTGTCTACGTTCGTTTTTGTAGAAGTTTTTGTTTTTCCGTCAACTGCGTAATGCTTGCGCAGCACTACAACGTTGCGTATTGTTAAGCGTTATCAGCGTTATGGCATCGATTTGTGTAAATTAAAGCCTCAGAAATTCATATAGCAATTATTTTAAGTTAATTACATTGTTATCACATTTAGTCGTTACGTGGCGAGTACGTACAAATTTGTTGTTCTTTATTGTATTCTTACATGCCTTTAAAGAGCTGCTACGTCGTTACGTTGCATGGTTTGCGTTGAGTACGTATTTGTGTTGTTCATAGTATTCTCAGTACCGTTCCTGTTGTAAAGAGCTGTTGCGGCGTTACGTTATTGTCTACGTTGAGTACGCATCAGTATGTAATTGTTGTTGCGTTGTTTAGTAGCGYACGTCTACTTTGACGCTCAGCATACGTATTGTACTACGAGTGATGTGTACATGAGTTACGTTGCGTTACGTTACGTTACGTACATTACGTAAGTCGTACTTTGTGTAATTTTCTTGTGACTGTTTGGACACGGGTTTCTTTCAGTAAACGTTAAGTTGCGTGTCAATATGTATCGTTATGTTACGTTTAGTTACATAGAATACTCGTGTAATTGTTTTGATTTAAATCGTTACGTTTATTAGTCAAGTTTCATTACAAGTATTTGTTATGTCGCGTTTATATAAAACGTTATCATCCTGTATTTTATTTGTGTTTGTTTGGTTTGTTTTGCTTTGACGAGTCGTAACATTCATTGCGTTACGTAGTTAAGCTTATGCCGTAAATTGTAATATTCGCTGCGTCAAGAAGCGTTCCTAAAATAAAAGTTTATATTCGTTACGTCACGTAGTTTTCGTTATGTAAATCGTTATATTCGTTGCGTCACGTAGTTTTCGTTATGTAAATCGTTACATTCGTTGCGTCAAGTAGTTTTCGTTANTTTTCAGTAAGCATGTTCTCGTGATAGTTACGTTACGTAGAGTATTTTTCCGTTTGGGTCGCAGTTGTCGTTTCAMCGTGTTCCGGTTGTTACGTTGTATTGTGCAGTTTGGCGTCAGTATTCTGCACTACGTATGAAATGTAACTTTTGTTTGTCTATTTAGCGCGTTGTCATTGTATGTGATAATTYGTTGCGAAGTGCATGCATGTGAATGCGTTATGCGTTATGTAGTTCGTAATGCTGTCACGCAATATGTTAAAATTTCGTTGTCCAGTTTTCAAATTTCGTATAGTAGTGCTGTCGCAGTGTTTGTATAAGAGTTATTTGTAGTACAGTCTCATTGTGTAGTTTGCAGTCAGAGGTTTAATGTCAAAGCTTAAATGTCGCAAAATCATGTCACGTCATATCACACTATGTCACACTCTGTTGTCACGTAATATCATTGGTCAAGAAGCATACATAAATAGACAGAGCACACATGCCGCTAAGTCACGTTTTCCGTCACGCAATGGTTTTCTGTCATGTAACATATTGTCGTATCACATTGTCTATGTTAAAAGTTGTTGCAATTGAAGTTACAAAACAGTAACTAGTCACGTCACTAAGTCACGTTTTCTGTCACGCAATGGTCATCTGTCATGTCACCCCTTGTCTCGTCACATTGTATGTGATGTTATGAATATTTTTTCCCAAATTTGGAATGGAATCGTCGCTCTTTTCTTAGAAAATAGATTATTCTAACGGCATTACCGTTCTTCCTTAATTTTATCATTGCCAGCAAGTTCTAACCCTCGGCATCTGTAGTCTGTAAATCCATCCGACGTTTGTAGCCTCCCTTGCAGCCGTTATCAATGTCACAATGACGTCACAATGACGGCTGCAAAGGAGACTACTTGGTCTGCTCGTCGCAATGCCAGTTTGTTTACATACTACTTGATATTGTTGAAGGGAATATGAATTTATATTTGTTGTGTGGCTTAAGTGTATTCATACAAAAAGGTTCTTTTGGAACAACGCCACCAATTTCAAACTCGTTATAAACTTTAAAACATAAAATTAACAAACAGAGACCAAAAAAACTGATGAATTGTCAATAAGATTATTACAGACGCTCACTGTGCTTTTTTTTCGATTTCAAGACATAATAAAATGGTTCTAAAGTGTTTTGGTTGCTATTTTATCGTCATAAAACGTTATAATTTAATTGTGGACGAGAATCCCACCTGTCATTGCAATATATACTCAGTACGCATGTCATCAACGCGCTTCCCAATTGTCTTTTCGGTCTCGGTTTGTCTGTTTTATTTCTTGAAACTTATAATGAATTTTTAACTGGGCARGCAACAATGTAAAAATGGAAAAATATATAAACTTGTGATTAAAAAAGCTTCAATTACAAAAAGCGAAAAATGGTCTCATATTCCCTTCTCTGAATGCCAAAGGTTTCGGTAGAACCGCTAGCTATGATTATCTTATAAAAATATATATATAATTTAATATAATGTACATCATAAAAAATATAAATTCACTGACCTACGTTTTGGAGTCCTATGGGCTTCGATATAATTATGAAATATCGTGATCTGAGAAAAAAATCTTAGTTGGGCTTGCTGTGTCATGGCTACTAGGATCTAAACAAAAACGCTGTCAACCGTCAAACATTGCTATCTGTTGTGGAAGCCACTGAGGTGTCAAAAAGCCATTTGAGTGTTTCCCGCCAAAATATGTCCAGGAAGCTCCTTAAGTGTCAAACGAGCCATTTACATTTTTCCCGCCAAACATATGYTGAGGAAGCCACTCAAGTGCCAAGTAAGCCATTCAAGTGTTTGCCTCGAAAATATGCTTGGGAAGCCACTTAAGTTTTAAAAACGTTTTTTAAAAAGAATGAAGTTAACCATGACACAACATGCTGCAAGATTTCCTTCGCATCAATGACCGCAGAATCTAAAACTAGACCAAACCTCAAACAAGCACGCCGCGGAGTGAAATCGAAAGAATATGCACAGAGGATATGCAAGCACTGTAATGGCTTTCCACGATCTTTCTCCATAGAAWACTGTCTGTACTGGTGTAGTTACAAAGTCTCTAAGCTCGAAGAAGGAATCTTGGCCCCATAATGCAATGTTYGTCGTCAGCAAGAAAAGCGCGCCTTGTCGAATGATATTGGCGCCAATTTCCTCACGTGGTCTGAATCGRAGTGCTTTKATAATTGCAGTCGCTTGCAACATACCTTGAAATAGTATTAAAGTCGATTTTGCTATGGAAAAGTCCGAGATTAGCCCTCGGCTCTTGTACTCGGCAATGCCTGCTGTTAAGCACAARCCAGCATACAARAACACTCCAGTGAAWGACGCAATGAGAAGAGTATCGTCAGGTGCAAAGGGATACCACGAAAGYTTCTGTGCCATTAAGCATTTAAGGATCACCCAACACGATATACTCATGAACGTCAATAAAGTAATCTGGTAAAGATAGTAGAACCGCAGTGCATTCTGGGACGTCTTGTCAACCCATAGCAACCCAACTGCCAATAGCAACAGAATAGAAAATAATAATCCGACAAGAAGTCCTGGATCTGAGCTCGGAACTGTATTAAGTCTAGTACGGTCATGATGGTCTATACATGTTTGACACAACGAGGAGGTTGACACTGCTCTGTTAAGAGAGAAYCGGCTTAAAAAGCGTGTGCTGCTTAGAGAGTCCTTCGATGGGGTGTGTGCCTCGCACGTGCCGTACCCCTGGTCGTCRTAGTACTTTTCGCTCATATTATCAGTTGTAGTATTAAAGTCAGATAACTCATCGTAGATATAAATATCTTGTGGATCGGGATCCAGATCTCTCATCCCGCTCCACATGTTATAAAGAATCCCTCCAGCGATCAGCGTGTATTCCATTGTAAAAGGATACAGATAAGGCTCAGAAGCTTGCCATATTTTCTTCATAGAATAATGCTTTGATACACAAAGATTGTCTTCGTCTCGGATTGTGCCGACATAGTGTCCGTTGTCGCTAAAAATAGTACTAGARTGGCTAAACAAAGCCCGGAACCAGATGCATATATTTGTACCAAGAATATGAAAAAGSACTAGTCGAATGCTAGGTGACTTGTGTAATGTCGCAGTGGCAAACTTACGAAGAAAGAGTATTTGAGAAAAGATAAAAACGGCTTTGAATACGGAAAAAAASAGGCTGGATAAGTTCGATGAGCACTCGATGTAAAACGCGATGTGTAAAAGGTCCATTACGCATGTCCCAGCGCCAAACACGTAGGCACCGGCCATGAGAGGTCGGTTTGAATGAGGTGTAGGAGTCATAAAGTCAACTGTTTTACGATCATTCTGCTTACAAAAAATATAACATATCCATAAAAGAGTCGGAACAATGCATGTAATAAGAAAACCGTCTATATGGTCCGCGGTTACCCCTGAATCTGCCTTAGAGTCCGCTTGKAGCCACTTGGATAAGTTAAARACTACCCCAGCTACTGTAAGACAAATCAAATATAGAAGACTAGCGATTCGTCCATCGCCTTTGACCCCATCGTCAGGTAAAATTGGCTCTAAAACACACATCAGAGTCCTCGTCACAAACCCATTGGATTTGACTCGTTTTYCGTCCTTCGATGGCGAAGTGTCTTGACTTTTTGGTTGTTCATTTTCGATTTTTTTCTCGTAAACCGGGTAGATTTCTTTGTCGAAAGCCATACTGTGTATTGTCCGCGAAGCGGKTTGTTGATCACCAAAAACAAGGTGCATTTGCTCTGTTGTTTGTCCCTTCATGACGTCATGGTAGTTGTTGTTGGTTGAGGCACCAGCCCGTGTGTGTGTTGGTTTGCAGTAAACAAGAACTTCTTATTGGTTGATTGATTACATCATTGACATGGAATCGTGATTACTTCATGGCACACTGACTCATCAAAGATGCATTGACCTGTGCATTGTCTWATTGACCAATCACAGACCAGCAAATCCCCTAACCTGTTGGTGTGATCATTGGTACTCATTCACCGTTCTCGTCCTTTGTTCTACCGTCCAGGGGAGGAGACGGGGTAATTTTGCACTTCAAAGTGCAACAATAATCAATGCAAAAACTCTAAATTTTCTAAAAGATAAAGCTTATTCCTTGAGTTTATCAATTTAGCCCAGTTTTTAAAAGACTTTACGAAAAAATACATCATTTCTTTGATGGAAATTGTTAGATTTTGGAAATTCACAGATCAATACTTCTGCAAGACAATCAAACCAAAAAAATTGTCCCACCCCTACTGGGGATACGYTTGCGCGCTCACATCACTATCACTGCAGAGTAGCACTCTACACATTTTCATTTGTTTACAACTATTCAAAGAGAAATCCAACATTTTCTTGAAATACACGCAATCAGATACAGCAAAAATACGATCTATGCAAAGCACTACTCCTTTTCCGTGCTTGCAGATACCATTATTTTGATATTTTTTCCTTGAATCATCGAGGCGTTGAGGATTTTTAACATTGTGCTATGGCGTTGTAAGCAAAGGACAAAAGGACTTGTAAACATTTCCTTGCCTCGGTGAACTCTCAATATGAAACCAGTGATTACCTACACAAATCATGAACTCATAGTTAAACATTTTATGATCTTCTAGACGGTGCAGCGACCTTGACGAACAGACRAAGCTGGAAAAAAATCGGCGTTGCTTTCTGCTAGCCTAAAATGTTTTCAAATAATTATTAAATAAAGTGGTTTCACTTTACATGGATTTATATGTATTTGATTGAGCTCTAGAATTTGAGCGYTGAGTGCATACTAATGTCATGAAACACAGACGTTTGCTTGCGAGAATCTTAAGAATCAGTTTTAGTATATTTAGTGCTGCGCGCCTGAGCTAAASAGCTTTKGGAATCGCGTCACAAATTGTGCACAGAACTTAGAAGTCATACTTTCTCTGAAATTATCCTCAGATAGCCTACAATAAAGCAATGAGTAAACCAGTACAAAGRAAGATGATATGAGTTTACTTGGCATAAGTTTTGATAAAAAAGGTTTAACTTTGTAATGCTACTGAGTACCGCAGTCAAAACTATCTGTGCAGGTTTAGAAATGCATGACTAGGCGAACAAGAAACATAACTTTAAGACAACTATATAAAATCTCTAAGGAACTAGCTATTTGATCTGGAAGGTCGTTCTTTGTTCCAAGAATAATGTGTTCACCTGTTGTTCACATGGTGTCATATCGTACACAGCTTGTCATACTTGGGTTTCTTTGTTCTCCAGATATTTGGCTTTTTGTTTTGTATTTCGTGATACYTATAACATCTTCTAGGCTTTCCGTAACATCATTTAAACCTCGTATACTAAAACAATGCAATTGCAACCAAATAATCGATATATTATTAGTTGAGATTTTTTTCAGAGCTACAAAAGCTGGAAATTGTTCGACTAGGAGTGCAGTTTGCATGAAAATGCTCTMATAAAAACATCAAAATGTTTGTGATTACAATAATTAAACAAACGTGGACAAGTAATGATAATATTGCAGGGTTTCTAAAGGACCGTTTGACCTGTAAAATGATTATTTTTTACGAAACAAAAACATTTCAAACAGCGCCWTTGTTAAAGTCAGGTAGTCCAAGTAAATGAGAAAGATGTTTTGACAGAAAATCTCTTTCACTGTTTCAAAACCAGACAGTAATGTAACAGAAACATAGGGTTTTGAACGGTTTTTTCATAGATATGAAAGTTGTACATAAAAGTATAGTTGTTTTTTTTCTCTAGTGATCTCCAATGAGACGTAAAATCACGCAAAGTACTTAATTTTATTTCATTTAAAACAAAATACTAGTTTAGAACCTCCCAATAATCAAGAAATGTAAACATATAAAAACAATGTGGAATTTGCTTATTGCCTTTTTGAATTCTTAATTTTCCAAACAAAAAAAACTTTATTCTGAAAATGGCGCGAAAAATGACGACGCGCGCTCGCGCCTTTACAAATCACAAGTGTCTGCTGACTACATAAGCAAATTTTAACTTTGTAGACATTTATAGATGACACATCTTTTTAGACTATAAAAAGAATTTTTTGAACATGTCGTAGGACTGAAGAGTCAGATTTAATAGTCAAACTCAGGTAGCATCCATCTTAGGTAGGACATCTACTTTATTACGGGTTTTAATTAAAGTCTACTAAATGACGGAACAATAATCGGTTCAAGCTTGAGTAAATGACTGATGAACTGGACAAGATAGTCTCAAGTGACCTTTCGATTCAGCGATAATGTCTTCATTGAGCATTCAATGGTCAATAAACTAGTAAAATCCGTGACGAATGACCCTTCAAAATCATGAGTCTTACATGAGATGCTACAATTTCAGTGACTCGGTCCCGCAACTTAGATAGTGTTGCTGTGATTAATCTCACGCAGCTGATTCAGTCGTTATTTATTCAGTTTTTTACACAAAATATTTCCAAGATGTTTTGTCCATCTTTTCAAGTCTTATTTCCGTCCAATTAGTTTTAATGGTTAATATTTAAGTCAGCTTTTTATTTGTGGCACATTTGTCAAAATTAATTACAGGAACCCAGCTATATATCCCAATAAAGTAAAACAAGCTTGTAAAKTATAATAAATATTTTTGTGACGAAAGGCCTTATGGGGCCTCTTGTCCCTATGTACGTCATCAACCGCGCGTAGCCATCCACTTGTAGCAGGCGTTCCTTGCAAGTCCTTGATATGTTTTTAAACTTAAAAGTTGAAAAAAGAAAATCTCTAGAGAAAAACAAGAGAAGTAACAACAGCAAAGAAAAAGAAGAAAAGAAAAATAAAAAAAAGAGAAACAAACGAAAAAGAAACAATATTAAACAAGCAAAAAAGAGAAATTCCAACAGCAGGACTTGAACTCAGAACTTTTACTTCAGGAGAAGATGTACCCCCCGGAATACATAAGAAATAATGAAAATAAAAAACTAAAAAGATGGGACGATTCCCCCGAGACATTCTATGAAGCTGAGGCGGCGAATCGGCTTACGTTACGGTTAGAGATTTCGGCCCTTCCACGCTATCCCGAGTGAACATAAAACTTAGTCTTAACCAAAAGGCCAGGGAGTGAGGGGGTAGCCGCCCACTAGAGCATACCTTTAGCTACCCTCTTAGACCATCGTACTATGAAGACACTTAAGATATCTAATATCTAATTGGGGTAGTCTATTCGGTGAAGWTCTATGCTAATATATGACGTCAYCAARATMCTTARGGAGCAGCGAGCCAATCAGAGTTCAGCTCATGAATAGCAAAGGTTCAGGGTTTGCATAATCATTCTTTAGTGGATTTATTATTTAATGGGGGTGGGGTGGGTGCCGAGTGCTGGTTTGCGGCCGAATACCGATGTACACGATATAATGTGGGCGCATTTCACCGAGTTTTTCAGTTGTCGTATATTGTTTTCCAAATCAGCACAGGAAAAGGTGTACAGTTCTTATATCAGACAGACATCACAAGTATTCGGATAAACACCATGGCGCAAATCTCTTGAAATTCTTAATGTAAGTGGTTAACAGACCAGGCAGATACTAGCTGTTTTGCCAAAGATTTGCTGGCACTCAACGGAACACAATTAAAGACATCGGAAACTCCAACATTACAATATTTTCGTTCTTTATGATATAAAAGTTTACRAATGGATTAATATTGATTATCAAATAATTATTACATACAAATATAGCGAATATTAAKAATTGAAGAAGATGAATGACAAACCGTATGAAATGGAAAAGAACTTAACAATCTTTGKGTTTTATTTCAAAACTATGATCAGKSRA